TTTGCTCTTGTAAAAACACCATTTAAGAGAAGAGATATAAAAGTTTCTAAACATTTCTTTGACGTCATGACTGTCATATATCGTATTTTGATGCTCTAAGAGTGCTGATGCCAAATGGTTTCCCAAAGATGGAATAAATGTCCATCACATACTACCGGTAGGATAAAAATTCATTTTGTCCTTGAACTTCTTATAGGAAAATTCATAAATACCAAGTTTTATTTTATTATTTGGAGTCTCATGGAATCAAAACCATATCCCAGTTTGCTTTAGGGTGCCCAGAACACAGATGAGTCTGCCTAACCTTGATGCTAATACTTAACTCTTTATCACTTCCCACCTTGAATTTAAAAACTCGCTTTACTTGTCTATGAACTAGATCAATCAATTAATTAATCAGGCAAGCAAGCAAGCATTGAATAAGAATTTACTATGTACCAGGCATGATGCTAGCAGATGGAGATGCAATGGCAAGTGAAAACACAGAAACTGATCTTGCCTTCTTAGAGCCTAACCTATGAACGAGGGAAGTAACATACAAATAAACAGGACCTACAAGATCTATGCAGAATAGAAGAAAGTAATCTTACCTTAGAGGGGAGAGCTTATATGACCAATGGGATTGAAGGCTTCTTATAGAAAGTGGGATTTGACCTGAGGCATGTAGGAAACCAGAAAAAACAAAGGGTAGACATGAAGAGGGAAAGTATTCTGGGCATGGGGGACAGCAAAGAGAGGAGATCCAGGGTCACATTTGGGAAAAATAACCTAGAGGTAATAGGAAACCCTGCAGCTTTTTGAAAAGGGGATGTGATATGGTCAAACTTATACTTTAGGAAAATTACTTTGACAGCTATATAGAAGATGGATTGTGGTAGGAAGAGGCTGGAGACATGGAGATCAATCATAGCTTATAGCTCAGGGAAGATGTGATAAGGGTTTGAACCAGAGAGGTGATCTTGTGAGTGGAAAGAAAGGGTGTATATAAGAGACGTTGTGAAGACAGAAACAATGAGATGAATCCTTTGAGTTGTTTAGAAGAAAAGATTTCCCTCAGGCTGATTTTTTTTAACATGTTTTAGATTGAAAATGGTGAGGACTTTGATCCAAGATTGGTTTTCAAGACCACCAAAAGTGTCTCCAAAAGCAGAATACAAGAATGTGTAGAATGTGAGTTCCTTGAGGACAGAAGTATTTTTTGCTTTCTTTGTATCCTTAGCACTTAGCATAGTGCCTGGCACATGGTAGATGCTTAATAAAAGCTTCTTGACTTACTATGTCCTCTTCTCCTCCTCCTCCTCCTCCATCTTGTACATAAACCAGATTAAATCTACCTTAATTTTGTGCATACTTTACTTTGTATACTTTGAAATGGATCTGAGGTTAAAAGGACCAGTAAAGCAAACTGATAGGGGCCAACACTGTCTTGGTAGAGGTTGTTTGGGTTAAATGTTGGAAGGAATCAAGTTGTATGCCACTGCTGGTGATAATATCATGTCCACAGGATCAACTTAGTCTCCATCCTTGATATTTCAGGTAACAGTAGTCATAGCCCACAGGCCCTTTTCCATCTGCTACTGGTTTTATTTTCTCTGATGTGGGCTGGGCCACAATTATCCATGTCTAGGTCACCTGCTGATTAAATCGTGGCAATATTCTAGGAGACCACACAGGAGCCACCACTGCCTTGAGTATGTCACCAAGTATGGTGGAGTCACCACAGAGATTACATTCAGGGCGATGCCCATGTGCCCCTCGCTCACTCTCTGTAATTCGAAGGGCTGGTTCCAGTTCTGGAGAAAGGTGGGCAGGACTGAGATCTAATGATGTGAGAAACTTCTTTTTTCTCCAGTCTCTTAGGCCTGTGAGTTTGCACTCTGTGCTTCTGGTTCCTAATGACCGTGTCTTTGGCTGACAACACCTTGTTTTTAAAATAAGTATCCTTAAGTTTTTTTGGTATCACGGATCCCTTTGGTTGTCTGGTGAAGTCTGCAGGCCCCTTCTAGAAATAACGTTTTTAAGTGCCTGAAACAGAGTATACAGGATTTCATTTATATTGAAATATGGTTGTCAAAACATTTTAAAAACAAAAAGCCAAGTTCATAGATTCCAGGTTAAGAACCCCTAGCTAGAAATCTTTTCCCACGATCTAAGATGACTATATGGGCAAGGTCTGGATACAAGTTTAATGGGATATTGAAGAAGAGTTAATCCCATGTAGTTCACCAGATCAGTAAGTCCTCATGATAAGTCAGCTAGGGTGGTGTTAGACATTAATGTGGTGATAGTAGAAGTCCCTAAGATGGATATTGGACATGTTAGTTTCTCTCACTCTTGTTGGAATTAGAGGGGGTTTCCTTCTTTCCTTCACTCCTTGTTTGGGGTGTGGGTAGAAACACTCTTTAGAAGGAAAGCTTGATAGAAGAAAAAAATCAATCTTATTTCTCGGAAAAGAAAAGAAATGCAGTCAGGGAATCTTGGGAATAAGACAAGTAATATCTCTCATTCTCAGGCTCCTGTTCAAACAGATTAATTGCTGATGGAGAGCTCATTTTTGGCCTGTTACATCAACAAACGTACAACTGCATGATGATCCCATGTTAGAAATATCCCTTGGGTACTTTTTTTAAAAATAAAAATTGGCAAATTAGATAATTTAGTTCTTTTCAAAATTAATGTGATTCATTGGGTAGAACTTGTCCCAGAAACTCCTGAGGGAAAATGGAAGTTTTTCTGAAATCCGCACAGGGTAAATGTCAGATTGACTCTGGTTACCATAAAACTTGGTGACCAAAACCAGATAAACTCCATTGTCTTGAGACCAACCCAATGGCTGACAGAGAATATTCCGTCAATAGAAATTTATTTCTTCAACTTATGGGTCTGAGCCCTGTTAACTGCAGCCACTGTTGCGAAGAATGTCACTTTAAGATGCTACCAATTATTAAATTTCACATGCATGCAACACACACACAATCTTAAAAAAATGTAACACCAGTTCATAATTTCTTAAACAATTCTCTTTCTTGTTCTTCTCTGAACATTGTAGGCAGACAGGCTGGATAGAGTATTAGGCCAGGAGTTAGGAAGACCTGAGTTCAAATCCAGACTCAGACACTCACCAGCTACTTGACCCTAGAGAAGAACTTAACCTCTGTTTGCCTTGATTTCCTTATCTGTAAGATGGATGTATTAATTGCATTGACCACTCAAGATTGTTATGAGGATCAAATAAGATTACAATTGCAAAGTGCATTTCAATCCTCAAAATGCCACATAATGCTAGCTATTATTGTTACACTGAAATACTTATGTTTGTAGATTATTAGAAAATAGAAAAAAGATGTTGATTTTTTAACCTATTTATGTGACAGGTACTTTGCTGGATGCTGGAAATACAAAGACAGAAAAGAAACGTGTCCTTTCCTCAAAGATTTTATGTATCTTAAGTAGAGTTGAAGATTCTAAAATCATGCTTTTAAGGGGAATGGAGGGAGGGTATAAGGATGCAAAGGAAGTGAGAAAAGCTATCCCATTAGGGAAATTTAATACAATATTTATTAAGTACTTAACAGAAAGATTCATGAGTCCATTGAGAACTGAGGCTAGGAAGAGGAGTGATAACAAAGCCAAGGCTCACCTAAGAGCTGGAAGTGGGTCTCTAGAATTGTTTTTGTTTGTAAGTTTGTTTTTTGCTTTTAAAAAAAAGTCAACTATGTTCCCATGAGCTGCTTATACTAAGAATTCTGTATACCCAGTTAAATGGAATGTTTGACCAAAAAAATGGAAAAGCTAAATCACAAGATGCTCAGTGAGTTGTCCAAGATCATAGGCAGAGTTACAGTAATAACAGATTCAGGAATTAAATGCAAATCCCTCAGGTCCCCACGCATAGCTTTTGCAATCACAATATTGAACGCTTTCCATTTCTTCTCAGGCAATTCAGGTATCAGTCTGGATTAAGCCAAAAGGGCAAAGACACGGGAAGGATGTAGCAACTCTCATTTCCCTAGGTTTCAAATCAATTTAAATAAGCATTATCTGAGTACCCACCATGTGGCTTGGTCTGGGTCTGGTGGTATATGCCTATGACCCCTGCCACTGGGAAGGCTGAGATTGCTGGAGTTTGGAAGTTCTGAGCTGTAGGGATAAAATGGATTGGATATCTACTACACTAAGTGCAACATCAATATGATAAGAACCCAGGAATGAAGGGCACCTAGATTTCCTAAAGACTGTTGAACTTTCTCATGTAGGAAAAAGTGGACATGGTTAAAGCTTCTGAGTTGATTGGCAGTGAGGTCAGACCCATAAGTGGCTGCTACACTTTCAGCCCTAAAAAATCCGAACTGTGTAATGTAGAACCTATCTAGAGTAAAGATTTTAACTTATTTCATTTTTTTAAAGGAAAGCAACAGTCACCATTTTACTTTTAGGTGGCATAAAGAGCTTAAAAAGATCTTTATTCATAATCTTTTAAAAGCTTTACCTTCCCCCAGTAAAACCTTTCTTGTATCAAAGAAGAACAATTAAACAAAACAAATCAACGCATTGGCCATTTTGGAGAATGTATGCTTTATTTTGCACCCATAGTCCACCACTTCTCTACAGAGAGGAGGCAAATACTGTCATTTCTCTGAAGTCATGATTGGTCATGGTATATCAAGTCCTTGGGTCTTTGCATCAAACTTTTATGAGAATGAAGCTTACTCTAGGCTTCATGTATCCTGTTAGGACATGTGGAGGCAATGTGGTTCAGTACTGGGACTGCTGAAACCTTCATTTTGGTCAGGCCCACGATAGGTTTCTGCTCCAGGAAGGCATAGCTGCACTTTCAAATCCTTCCCCCAAATGAACATTTGCAGTGTGCCATGGTGCAATTAAATGCCCTTTGCTCTCATGCCAGGGAACTGGTGAGATCAGTTCCAGACCTGGCCTGGCTTTCTTTTCTCCTGCCCACATGCTGCACATCAGAGAGTGTCTGAAGTGGAGGTGTCACCTTCACCGAGCTTCCTGAACAGCCTCTCCCTGGGTGCCCAGGGTCTCTCAGCTCTCCTCCTTACCCTGGCAGGCTTCCTCTGGCTGCCTTGAGAGCCAGAACGCCCATGCCAGGCTTTTCCACGTGTTTACACGGTTATGGTTCAAGTGGCTTTTTAAAACAGATGCTGCCTTTCTGTGAGTGAAGCTTCTGGACACTGTTTTTCCAGGACAGAAGATTGTCTTCCTCCTGCCGTTTACACTGAGTGAAACAGAATCCCACCCTGCTGAGGTCGGTTTTTCCTTTTGCTATACTTGGCAACAATGGTCAGAGTGGAATCTTTTTTTTCAGATATTTTCCCACTCCAGACTATTCTTCTAACTTTTCTCTTCATCCAACTATCACTCCACTTCGTCTTACATACTTTACAGTAGGAGGAAATGCCCCTGTGTAGCTTAATCTTTGATGAAACATAATACCTTTAAATTAAGGAACTTGGAGCACTTCGCAGGTAAAATTGTGCTCATGATCTAGGGGCAGCTAGGTAGTGCAGGGAAGAGCATGGTGGCATTCATTGGTGGCAGTGTCGGTCCTGGAGGCAGAAAGAGCTGCATGTTAATCCTGCTTCAAACACTTACGTAATGCTAGTGCCTTCCCTCTGAAATGATCTGCAATCAATCCTCCATATAGTCTGCACACAGTTGTCTGCATATTGTCTCACCCATTAGATTGTAAGCTCTTCCAAGGCAGGGACTGTTTTTGCCTTTCTTTATATCCCTAGACCCCTAGAACATAGTAGGAGCTTAATAAATGTTTGTTGATTGATACTTAATGTGTTTGTTAATTGATTGACCCATCGTCTCATTTTTTGTAAATATCCCTCCCTGGTGCCAGACAAAAAAGAAAACACTTGATGAGTAGGGAGGGCCTCAGAGTAAGAACTCAGGGTGATGGATGGATGTTAGGAAGAGGCCTGTTGGGCTTGATATAAGGAGAAAGTCTCAAATAGAATTCTCCCAATGTGGAATGAGCCATCCTCAAGAGGTGGTGAGTGCCCCCATAAGAGAAGGGAAACTGGATGACCTCTTGATTAGGTGGTAGAACAGATCTTCCTTTAAAATAAGTTTTTATTGATGTCTTTTGGTGGTGTTTTTTTTTGTATCATCATACTTTTCCCCAGTATCTTTTCCCTTGCCCCTCCCAGAGAGGCATCTCCTACAACAGATAGGATTTTTAAAACCAAAAAATAAAGAAAAACTGAAAAAGAGTGGTAAAGAATTAGCATAATTGACTAATAAACCCCCAAAATCCAAAAGTATGTGCAATGTATAATGCTTGTGAATCTCCAACTTCTGCAAAGGGGTAAGATGGGGGTGTCTTTTCAGATCAAAATAAGGCTGGAAAGATTGATTGGAGTTAAATTGTGAAGGGCCTTAAGTGTCAGGGTAAAGAGTTCATATTTTATTCCTAAAGATAATAGGAAGTCAGTGAACATTTTGTTTTGTTTTGTTTTGTTTTGTTTTGCAGGGGAGTCAGACCTGTTCTTTGGGAAGACTATCTTGGCCCCAGTGTGGAGAACATATTGGAGAGGGGAGAGGTAAGTCGGGAAGTGGCTGTTCGAATAATCTAGGTGAGAGCCCTAAGCTAAGGTGATATCCATGGGATGAATTCAAACAATATTGTGAAGGTAGAATCTCAGGAATGAACTAAACAACTAATTCATTTTTAAGAGTGAGAGAGAGAGATAAGCCAAAGATTGATTACTCGGAGGTTCCAAGTCTGTATAACTAGGAAACTGGTGCTGATATCAACAGAAATAGGAAAGTTAGGAGGTGGGATGGTAACCCCTGCTTTGACCTCATCCTATCTCTCATTGGTCTGGAGCATTCTCTAAAAACTGTGTTCAAATCTTGCTTCAGACACTTGCTACCCGCATTACCTTGGGCAAGTCACTTAATTTCTTTGTTCCTCAATTTCTTCATCTGTAAAAAGAGGGAATTGATGGCCTCTGAGGCCCCTTTCAGCTCCAACCTGATGTTCCTGGGGGTCCTGTTACCATCCCCTGGTGAGTTAACTTCACTTGCCTTCTTTCACTTGCTTATTTCAGTGAAGCCCAGACAAATCAGCACCCAGCCTGGGGGAGAAGAGTTTCTATGGAAATGACTTCAGTGTCCCAGGACTTCATTATTACAGTAGGCGCTTTATAAATGCTGGTAAAACTGAGTTGAAATAAATGTTAGACAGTGATTTAGGGCTGCTTATTTCTTATAAATGTGACCTGCAAATGCAGACCCAAAAGCCGAATGTGATGTCTGTAAGAGCTCCAAGCTTCACACCTTTGTGAACCAAGTCTCACACCAGCGTTTTGCGGACCACACATGTTCCAACCTATTAAAAAAGCAATATTTATGTATATGGGTGAAACAGGGGACATATGACTTTTTATTGTATTGTTTTTAACAAAGCATTATATCTACAATAAAATGTTCTGCAAGCAGAAAATTACCCAGCCCCATGATCTTTATATATATCTATATCTATATCTATATCTATATCTATATCTATATCTATATCTATATCTATATCTATATCTATATCTATATCTATATCTATATCTATATCTATATCTATATATATCTGTATATATATGTATATACCATTGGTAACTTTCATATTGGGGTGAATTGCAGTATATTCTATTAAAAGTAGAACGATGCTTTCTGGATACTGGAAACACCTCACTAAACATCATGACAGACAATGAGTGTGTAATGTAACCTACTTGCATAGTGACATTGTCAATATTTATGTAATTCAGTTTTTTAAAAAAATTGTTTGTTGGTTATTAGACAACGATCTTACACCTAGAAAATTAAAATAATGTTTTTATACAGTATAAAAGTTCTGTGATTCTGAACACATTTGGTACCCTTTCACACACCTCTGCCACAATGAAGTCAAAAGAAGTCACACAAAATTGAGACCTAGATCCATAATCCTATGAACAGAATGAGGTCAAGAGCTCACCATTACTACTTGGATATACCCAAGTAGAAACTAGATGACCATTTATCTAAACACTTTTTGGCAAGTTACTTAATATTTTTGGGTGACAGTTTCCTCTTGTGTAAAATGAAGGAGTTAGACCAGAAGGCTAATAACTTTCTAAATCTATGGTTCTATAATCTCTCAATAATACTCCAGAGAAATTCCTACAGGGAGTAAAAGGTTGAATTGGCTGGCCCCCAAGGCCTTCCCCTACTCTAAGAGCCCACAATTCTTCTCACCCACTATTTCTTTGTAGCTCTTGGTCACTTTGTTCTTATGGTAAGCATCCTCTCTGCCCCCTAACATCTACCACCAAAGTGCAGAACCTGGAATTTCACTTTCATTTCTGGTGCCTTAGCACATGGATCTTCCAACTCCTTCTTTACTCTAGAATACTTTCCCACATAAATCAGAATTTCCTTTGCACAAGTCTATCATAATTCTGTCTACCCATTAGATCTGTATTGTTCCAGGTTATAGTCATTAGGCAAAACCAGCTCAGTGTACTAGAAACAAGAAAATTTGCTTGTAAGGACATTCAGGAAATGCTTCTATTTTACCACCCATATTACCAGGGAGCCTTTTAATGTGCCCAGTTCCCAAAAGGTTGGTGGTTGGTTTGGTGAGACTACCCTAACACACCCCAATCGCTCCCTTTCTATGTTGCAACCACACCTATGCATAAGAAAACTCTAGGTCCCCAAGAGTGCGCATGGCCTCATTGCGGGTGGGAATAGGGGAAGCCAAACTGCTCTTTCCTAAACTTAGTGAATTACACAATAATTTCCCAATAAGGACATGATGCCATACCACGATTCTCTTCAGAACACAACACAACCTTTTGTGGTAGTGGGCACTACTGATGAAAGTAACTCTGGACCCAGATGAGTAATGTTCTGATATAATTGACCTCATGTATAAACTAAATCATGTTTGAGAATAGTGTAATTTCTCATAGCCCATAGACTAGCTCATATTTAGATTGAGGAGATCCTCTGAGACTTCATAGTAAATGCTCACTGATGACTTCAAAATGCAAATTGTCCATAACTGCTAAAAATCTTTCTGAAAATTCAGAAGAATGTACACATTCAAAAATCCTTCAGGTCACTGCAGAAGGAAAGTTAACTTTTTCTAGGCAATTCATATGAAGGTGAATGCATAAAAGACTGTGAGATAAACTTCCTTTTTCTTTGAAAATAACCTTTGAAGTCAATTTTTTTAACCTCCAGGGCAAAAAGTAAGGAATAATGTTTGGAAATACAAGCACAAATTCATACTGTCAGGCTAATGATCCCTCAAAGAAGAAAGCATTTCTTTTCTAAAATGTATGACATTCTTTCTTTTTTATTTTTTTTATTAAAAAAATCCCACACACTTTTACTGGTATCTCTTGTTTTCTCTCACTTTTCTACCACAATTGCATCCTCCCTTGAAACCAAGTTAATCAAAACCATCCGACACAGTAACCATATCTGGCAACATGTACAATATTTTGCCCTTTCTGCAGAGAAGAACATATGCTTCATTTTCTGTGCTCTGGGGCCGTTATTGGTTTTTTGACTACTCGGAGTTTGGTTTCCTTGTAGTGAACTTTTCATTGACATCACTGAAAATGTTCTTCTGCATCTGCTGAATTCACTCTATATCAATACATACATAGTTTATTTTTCTCTGAATTTCTGGATGTCATCATTTACTAATGCACAGCAATATTCCATTATATACATGTGTGTATATGTATACATACATACATACACACATATATAGACATATTTTGTATACAAGGTGGGATGGTAAATATTTAACAACTGGCTCTCTGAAAATACATGATACACTTTAAAATTTAATCTGCATGATTAAATTTTTTTCTCTGTCACTTTAAGTTTAAATAATCAACAAAACACTAAGTCAAGCACTGATTTGCAGTATTTGCTGATTTCTGAGGTGTAAATGCTCATGCAGAAAATCTAACATTTAGGACCAGTATGAGCTGGCTCTAACATATCCCTGGGTGCACAAGTATGTAGGTAGCTATTATATACTTACAGATACTATGTATCTATATGTACATGTATATGTCTGTATACACGTATATATTTTGTATATATGTATATGCATAAATAAATGTAGATATATCATATTTTGTTTAGTCGTTCTCTAATCAATGGTCCACCATTTTGTGCTTCTATGAATATTGTGGTATATGTTGGGTTTTTTTTTCCTTTTTCTGTCTTTGATCCCCTTGAGGTGCCCACTGGAGTAATTTCTGATTTGGAGAGTATAAAAAGTTTAGTGACTTCTTTGCATAATTCCAAATTGATATCCAGACTAGCTAGATCAGTTTATAGCTCCTCCAAAATTGATTGGCAGAAAGAATTTTTGAGTACTTAGCTATTGGACATCAATCTTCAAGAATTAATAATAAGGCCAAATGGAATGCAACCTTCAGTTCTGTGTGTCTGTGTATGTCACAATGACTAGAATACCTATGTAGGTCATTTATATGCAGAAGCCAGCATGGCAGAGTTGCCAAAAAGATAAGCTTGAAGGCAGCATGACCTGACTGATGTTCAAATCTCACCTCTGACACATACTGTCTGTGTGGCCCTAGGCAAGTCACTTAGTTTTTCAGTGCCCCCAGGAAACTGTCCTACACTATGTTTCAGAACAGCTGCAAATCTGCACTGATAGAGAAAGTTTCCTTGGTGGGGTGCTCCCTACCATACTGAAATCAACGGGCCAGTCAAAAAACAAACAAAAAACCCGAACAACTTTATATGCATTTTTTATCATAGAATTTTTATATCTTTAATAAACAAAGGAAAATCCCATCAAATAACAAGTAATTTCCAATATTTTCTAGTTTCCTCAAATAGCAACATTACAAACTTGATGAACTTGGATAACAATATGTAAATTTCCATGCCTGAAACCCCCTTGAGTATATTCAAGGCAAAAAAAGAAAACAAGCTTGCATTCTGCTGTGCTCCATTTTATTTCTCAGGCCCTTTCAAACTGCTTAGAACAAGGTAATAGTTAGCACTTTCTTTTTCTTTTTTTTTTGTGAATTCAATTTTATTATATGTTCAGATAAAAATTTTCTCTCTCCCTTTCCCTCCTCTACACTCATGGAAAAAGCAAGAAAAACAAAACCCATTAAAGACATACAGTAAAACAAAACAAATTCCCACATTGAACATATTTAAAATAACCTAACACAAAGCAAAACATAAGCCTCAATCTACATTCTGATTCCATTACCTCTCTAGCTGGAGGTGGGTAGCGTAATTCACCCTGGGTACTCTGGGATTGGTTGGCCACTGTGTTGCTAATTTTTTCAGAGTTATCTTTATAATATTGTTGTCATTATGCAAATTATTCTCCTGGTTCTACTTACTTTATTCTGTATCAGTTTTTATAAGTCTTCCCAGGTTTCTCTGAACCTGCCCCCTTCATTAGGTGTTTTTTTTTTTTTTTGCTTTTAGGCAATTGGGGTTAAGTGACTTGCCAGGGTCACACAGCTAGGAAATGTCAAGTGTTTGGTCTGAGGCCAGATTTGAACTCAGGTCCTCCTGACTTCAGGGCCGGTGCTCTATCTACTGTGCCACCTAGCTGCCCCCCCCTTCATTAGTTTTTACAGAACAATAACTCCATCAACATTATTTTACTGTAACTTATCCAGTCACTCCCAAAATGATAAGTATCCCCTCGGTTTCCAATTCTTTGACAACACAAAAATAGCTATTGTGATTATCTCTGCACATATTTCTTCTTTGATCTCTTTTGGGTATAGACTTGGTATGAGTATCACTAGATGATAATTAACACTTGGTCTTTTAGGAGTTTCATCTTGTTCATTCTAAAGCCAAAGCTGACAAAGATCCCATTTAGATGGCTTTATTATTGAAAACAGCCCCAAAGTGTCATTAATTTTTTTTTTAAATCAGTGCATGTTTTGCTAGAGTGATTTCCATTTTGCTACCATTGGCCAAATAAAGAGATGCTGTTTAAATAGTTGATCCAGGAAAAAAAAAAGTACTTGATTCAGTTTGTTAATGTGGCAGGGCTTGAAAATGGTGCAGCAAAGACCAACGTTACCAGCACTTGGCAAACTGAAATCTCTCCAGATGCAACCTGAGGAGATGAAAATATTCTCTAGCAGTCAAGTGAAGTAATTTCAGGCTGTTGAGGAACCAAAATTCCATTTGGTAAGTTACCAATTCCTGGGATTGAATGTTCTAAAAAACTGAATTTGCCTCAAGATGGTCAGTTGGTACTTCAAAGCTACTGTTTTCTTTACCTTGCTCAAAATCTATCCCATTTCTTCTTATACATTTGGCGTTTTATCACTTATACACACATGTACTATGTAACTTTTCCTGCCCTTATTCTTTCTTTAGGACAAAGACAACTATTT